CCTTAACAGCAACCCAGATTATGGTGATTTTGGGAAAGTGCCCAAGTCTTCCCTTCCGCTTGACGCATACTTTGGCTCGAAGGAATGTAACGTAACATAGGGTCAGGAAAGATTGGAAGGTTATATGAGCCATTGTCTAAACTCCTAGTATCCCCCTTAATAACCCCTATAGTAGTCCAATGTATAATCCCCTATATAAACCCCCTTTAAGGAGTTTAGACTATGGCTCATATGAGGTATGCTCTGTTTACTATACCATGAACCTCCAGCACTAACTCCCCGACCCCAAATCGCAGCCCCTGGTCAGGCGTAAAGCCTAAGTCCCAAACCTTATGGGCCCCTAAACCCCTAACCCTAGACCCTAAACCCTAAAGCCCCTAAACCCTTAAGCCCCTAAACCCTTAACCAGCGTGCCCAGTGGCTGACTTTGATCGCCAACTCCAGAAGCCTGGGAAGAGCGCCCGGCTTCTGAAGAGGAGTCCTTAGTCCGGGGCTTAGGGTTCAGGAGGTTTAGGGTTTAGGGGTTTAGGGTTTACGGTCTAAAGCGCTTAGGGTCTAGGATTTAGGGATACTACCTTGATCCATGGAAAATGGAAAATGAAACGGAAAATGCAATGGACACTTGGAGTGTGGGTGATGGGCTTCTGAAAAGAAATCTTTAGTCCAGGGAATGTTCCGACAGGTTTGGAGTTTGGGACAACCCTAAACCTTTTAGGATTTGAAGCGTAAAGCTAAACCCTAAACCCTGAACCCCTAAACACTAAACCCTAGACCCTAAACCTTTTAGGATTTGAAGCGTAGGGCTAAACCCTAAACCCTGAACCCCTAAACACTAAACCCTAAACCCTAAACCCTAAACCTTTTAGGATTTGAAGCGTAAGGCTAAACCCTAAACCCTAAACACTAAACCCTAAACCCTAAACCTTTTAGGATTTGAAGCGTAGGGCTAAACCCTAAACCCTGAACCCCTAAACACTAAACCCTAAACCCTAAACCTTTCAGGATTTGAAGCGCAAGGCTAAACCCTAAATCCTGAACCCTGAACCCCTAAACCCTAAACTAAGGTGCAGGACTTGGGTTGAGTCGTTGGGGTGTGGAGATTGGGGGTTTGGGGTCCAGGGTTTGGGGGGAGGTGTAGAGATTGGGGTTTAGGGTTTAGGGTTTAGGGTTTGTTCCGCGTTATAAATCATACTGTAGGTTGCATTTTGGGCGCAGATCCGCTTTGAGGGCAAGGAATATGTTGTGGCTCACGTATTCATTCAAAGCTACATCAAAAGCCTAAACTCTGATTCCTGATGGTTTGGGTTTAGGGTTTAGGGTTGAACTCTTAGCCAAAAACTTGGCTACCCCATCAGTATGCTGGAGACCCAAGAGATCACATAAACACAGAAATGTCCCAAGGGGATTCCGCAAACACCTGACACGCGAGATTTTCCACAATCCAAACATGGAACGGACTCTCTCCCGACTCGCTACATTTCCATGCACAAGCATGATCAAAAAAACAAACACAAATTCAACATTCACAAGCAAGACCGATTGTCGCTTGGTTCTAGCGATTTCCTCAAGAACTGGAGAAACTACGCCCTGGAGTTCTGGAACGTGTAATTACATACTTGCGTTCCGAATGTTGAGGCAAATATTTTCAAGATTTGAGCACTCTTGCACCCCTTTGGACATAGAACTACGAACAACTTGGGCGCAGAATTTCCCGGAAATGATAAAAATGCGTGGGGACATTTCCGCAAACGGACATGCGTGGAAATTGCCAGTAGATTTCAGCTGTCTCGCACACGTTTCCGGACATTTCAACTCAGTGACTTCAGAAAGTTTAGGTGGTATCCTTTTGTTTGACGTGGCCTAACCGCCACTGAACCCCAAACCCCGTCAACCCAGAAAATGTAAGGCCCACAGAATAGAATGTCATTGCGGGGCTTCTTCTAGCTCAAGAACTAACTATTCCGGCTTCCGAATTGCGAGCAAACCCTTTTCTCAACCCAGCCCCTAAACCAACCCTACTACTCTTAAACCCGCTCACCACGTTTCTGCTAACCTGAAGTCATGGCATTGTTTGCCCAGCTGCGCAATTATGACCACGCTGAGCGGCTGTCCTGAGGGTATGAAAGGTTTAGGGTTGGGGGCGTAAACTCCAAACCCATTTTCCAGACATCATGGTCTGATGATCGCTCTCCCATTTGACAAAGTGACTGGGTGATGTTCTCTCTAGCCAGAACGCACGCTTAAGCCCTTAAACTTACTAGCGGTTAGTAGGGAACCAGGGAGTATATATTCAAGCCGCTTAGGCGCTAAAACTTACTGGTGGATAGTAAGTAAGAAAAATCAAGGATAATGTTATATAGAGATTCTATAGGGAGTATAGACCCAACACCCTAAACCCTAAACCCTACTAGCCATCAGTAAGTAGATTCAACCCGTAGGGTCCCGAAGTATGACGGTTCAGGTGCCGGCGTGGGGGAGTGCCAAGACTGGCATCCAGGGGCGTTGCCACCGTTCCTGAGTTGAGGGTTTAGGGTTTCGGGTTTGGGGCTTTGGGTTTAGGGTTTAGGGCTCAGGGTCTACTTGGAAATTCATGGGCGTTTAGGGTCAAGAATTTAGGGTTCTACGCGAAATGCGCGTTTTTGGCAAAGCTGTTTCTGTGTTGCACCCTTATGTATAAGATCTGCCTAGGAGCTGCTGAACAGGCACAAAATGCATGGGTCGGAATACTTGGAACAGGGTTCATGGTGTGGTTCTTTGCCATAGTTATACATGGGGGGGTTGTCAAAATTATGGTCCCTTTTTGGGTCCCCTAAATCAGGCCCCGTATTAGGCCCCGTAGTATAATAGGGACCCAAAAAGGGACCATAATTTTGACAATCCCCCACATGGATTTTCAGTGGTTTCCGAGATTTCGTCAGGCTTCTACATCACCATTTACCGCAAGGCTTTGCAAACCCTTACTTTCCACCGAATTGAAATGGAACCCGAAACAAGGCACTACAAAGACTACTGAAGGGGGTATGAGAGTAGCGTTTTCTTGGTGGTTGACTGAACTAGGTCAGATTATGTCCTTCCTAAAAAAACCAAAAGGCGGATATAAGCTTACTCTATATTGGTGACTGTAGTGTCCCCAAGTAAAACACTACTGGGGAGAGTGGTAGTTCAAGGATCCGTGGGTCCAGGGGCTCGTTTTTTGGACAGTGCCTACAGGCCTAGTTGCCCGCAGTCTTCTGGACTGTGCGACAGTGGTATTTTGAGATATGGTTTTTATTCCCCCTAATCTTTGCCGAGAAATAATCAAATGTTTTGGCAAGGCCCTTCTGTCGTAAGCTTCCGCATATGAAATTTTCCCTTCCGGCGCGTGTGTTTGTAGCATGCTTCCGCGGGTGCTTCCGCGAGGGCAGACCTTCCGCAAAGGGTGTGGCGGCCATGGTGGCCTTCAAAACGCGCCAACACCGAACCCAACACCCTAAACCCTAAACCAATATACCCTAGACCCTAAACCCTTAACCCTAAACCCTAAACCCAATACTGAACAGCCTGAACAGCACTTTTGTAGTGCTTCCGCGAGTAACCCGGCGACCTCTTACGGCAAGGCTTCCGCAGGCTTGCGTGCGCAGGCTATTGGGGTAATATTAGGGTTATATTGGGGTAATATTAGGGTTATATAGTGTTATAAGGGTTATATAGAGTTATATAGGGTTATATAATGTTATATAGGGATAATATTAAGGTTATATTGGGGTTACACAGGGATAATGGAAAAGAACATGGAAGCCCCAGGTCCCTATAAAGGGGTATGTAGGGTTCTATAGGGGTACATATGGGGGTTATATAGGGATAATGGAAAAGAACATGGAAACTACTATTTAGGGTTTAGGGTGTATAGTCCCCCTTAAGTAGATCCCGGATTTAGGGCTTAGGGTTTCAGGAATTTGTTTCCGTACTTCCACATACTGCAATAGCGCTTAAGACACCGTGGCTTCCTTGGTGTGACAAGTATAGGTCAGGGTGCAGTAGCATTAAGTCATTACATGCCTTGTGCTCACCGTGCCAGTTCTCCAAACAGCATGCGCAGAGATTCCATTCCGTTGCGGACTTCGCCAGTTTAGTGTTAAGAGTGCCTTGAGATGGTGACTGCGCAAGAAGCAAGGCGTGCCTTATGACCGAAAACCCCAGACCCCAAACCCTGAGCCTCAAGACCTAACTCTTAATAAGAAATCAGAATCCAAACCCCTAAGCCGCAAGCTCCAAGCCTTAACCCGTAGCAATAAATCAGAAACCAAACCCTAAACACTAAACCTAAGCCCCAACCGCTTTCTAGAAATCAGAACTCGGATTCTTGACACTCTACCCTATGCCCAAACCATTAACAAGAAATCAGAACCCAAACCCTAAACCCCTGACCAGAAATCAGAACCCAAACCCCAAACCCTACACCATTCACCCCAAACCCTACAACCCCAAACCTAAACCTCAAACCCTGAACCTCATCTTCAACGGATTTGCAATTCCCAGGCAACCCCTGCTTGGCAGCTTGGGCACTGGCAAGTAAGCCCGGGTGGCAAGCGCATCACGTCACATCCTTGGCTGATTTAGTGTTTGGGGCTTGGGGTTTAGGGTTTGGGGTTTAGGGTTTAAGGGTTAGGGTTGAGGGTGACTGGATATCGGCTAAAACTCTGTGGTCCACTCTTACCGGTCCTGTTCATGCTTACTTACCCTAGGTTCAACACAAATTTGATTATGACGAAACTTTCGAAACAGCATTAGCATTTGACATATCCTCTACCCCTAGTTGGGGCAAGAAGAACCCACACATGTGAGACCCCAAAGTAGGTCCTGTGGACTCCCGCTACATGCGTAGTCCTGTCTGCACTATATACCCGAACTGAAACAGTCCTCGTTAGCTGTGATTCCGAAAAAAGGGCGCCAAATTCTGGAAACCCTAAGTCCCACACATCCCGCTAACATCCCTATGTACCTTATGTCCCCTGTACATCACTCATGGAAAGCTCACATAACTTCAGCAGAGTAGGACTCGTCTGTGTTTTTGGGCTTAGGGTTTAGGATTTAGGGTTTAGGGACCCTAAACCCTAAACCCTAGACCGAGAATAAATCAAAATGTGACGCCCCTTGCCAGATGCCTGTATGTCATGGGTTCGCCTACTACCCATGCCATCTAAGTAAGGCTAGAAGTATGGGGCCCTAGGCCTTTTGGGAGGATTCTAGGGAATCTTAAGAGTACATAAACGGCATACAGTGGTGGAAGGATCCCAGGGTTTACGTAAGGGTACCAGTGGCCCATGGTTTCAACCTTAAATGCTACCCAAAGGGTCCATGTAGGTATATGGTATATACTTAGCACCCAAAGGGGTTCCCATATACCTACTTTAAGGCCCAAGTATATCCCATATACCTACATGGACCCTTTGGGCTATGTATGCCGCCCGGGGTGCCCGCTGTTTAGGGACACTTCGGGCTGATTGAGGTGTACGTTACTTGGGGGGTAGTATAGAGGGGAGTAGTAGGGTAACCCATCAGAATGAGGGGGGCTGAGAGAGTAAATATATGTATGTATATATGTATATGTACGGACTGTGATACAAGAAGAACAGATATGGGGATCTGATAGAGAATGCTAAAGCCACGAACTTCCCCATTCCCCTGTCAACCAGGGGCAAGTAATTGAGCCCAGTGAACATAAGAGCTCTTCACTATTCAAAGCAACGTCTTCACAAGTAGAAAAGGTCCTTGCACCCAGGAGCTACCCTACACTAGCAAATACAACCCTACGCCGCTCAAAGGAACCCCCCCCCCTTAGAACAGACATCCTACCCTAAACCCTATAAACCCTAAACCCTAAACCCTAAACCCTACACCGAGCGAGCTCAGACCTGATTCCATAAAATCTCGAGCACTCTGGGCCCCAAGGCCCCCCCAAGGTTTAGGGTTTAGGGTGTATGGCTTCGATTTTGAGCCCCTAAGGCTTAAGCACCCAGGCCCCAGGTTTTCAGGTGTAGGGTCGAGATTAGCACCAAACCCGCGCAGCTTCGTACGTCCGGCTGGATTGGGGTGGCTGCATTTGCCAGTGTCTGTGCCCATCCCAGTGTTTCACCTGTGTTGCGGGGATTGAAGTATGAAGGTGTGTACTCGTATCTCATGGCTTGATTTGTCCCTGGGTGAAGACTGCGGTATCTTGAACCCTGAACAAAGTATGGTTCAGGCAAAGGGGTTATATAACGTGTTTTTATTCCATGTGAGAAACTCCATCGACCCTATTCTTATACCGCTGCTTCGTAGATTAGATTGGGCAGACATAGTTATTCCTTATCTGTAAGACCTAAACCCTAGACTCTAGACATGCTAAACCTTAAACCTCGAACCTTACCCCACATTACCCTAGAAAAAGGATCCTGGTTGCATAAATTTCAGAAATCCTATACCAAGAAAGATTTCAGGATCCCTAACATTGATCCAGGAATCCCGAGTGAGCAAGACCTCCCCCAGCTTTCAAACATGCAGATGGAAATAGTGACTACTATGGATAATAAGGATTATATTCGGGTCCTCGTATATATCACTATTATACCACTATCACAGGGTGGGGGGTCCTCCTAACAGATGGTACTCAAAATTTCGATGATCCGTCTTTAGGGAGTCGAGTGACCAGGTCAGGACTCCACAGTACACGGTTTACGGTTTTAGGGTATATGGGGAGTCTAGGAGGTTTGCAAAGGACACCTAGGGCGCATGTAGGCGGACACTACCAACTACCCACCTAAACTTTGCTTGTTGCCTGGCCATGGTTTGCACTCGCTACTGCGAGGCATTAAGAGGTTCCCTATATGGCCAACAAGCATCACCTTGGCGGTATTTTGAACCCCGTTCTTAAGAACAAAAAACGATGCTTTAAACAACTGGCGACAAAAAAGGCAATATGGATAAACACTAAATCCTAAGCCATGTTGCGAGGTATCTGCACAGCCACGTGATGCTCAGTGAGCGCCCTGCTTTTTTGACCACCCAGAATCCCTGAAGGATCCAAATAGCACCGTCGTCCCCAAAATGACATTCATATCATTATCACTGTTATGGCTATTCTTGCTTGCTATTATTACTACTGTTACACTTATTGCTATTATTACCATTATTAATTATTAACCCGCTGTAGACATCAGGGAACCTTTGATGATTGGGAGGTTCCATTCCTAAACCCTAAACCCTATAAACCCTAAGGGTTTAGAGTTTAGGGTTTACCCTATAAACCCTAAACCCAAACCGGAGACTTCTGGAGGTCTGTGCAGCTGAGCTGACGGAGACTTACTTGCTAGGGCAAGCGATGACATGCAAAGAGCCCTGAAACCAACATGAGCTATAGTCCAAACTCCTTAAAGGGTTTCTTATAGGGGTTTAGTGTTTAGGGTTTGATATAGGGAACTACTATAGGGATTATTAGGGGGGGGGTACAAGGTTAGACTATGGCTCAAATCATTCCTCCACCCCCCATATCCGAAGTCCAAAGCTCAAACACAAATGATAGTTTCCGTGAATAGGGGGACCCCAATATAGACCCCAAAATACGATGACCTTTCATATAGGGACCTCTAAGAAGGTACCCCTCTAATTTTGGGAAACTCCTAAATAGGTAAACCATCCTAAACCCTAAACCCTAGACCCTAAACTCTAAACCATCCTAGGAAAATCTGCCATATACCACCTCGAGGGACAGTGAGGAAAAGGCACGAGACGCAAAGCTGTAGCGGACAAGGTCATGTCAAGTAGCCTCTCACACACAGGGTTTAGGGTTTAGGGCTTACACTCCCAGAAACTAACACGGAAAATTTGAAATGGACCTATAAAGATTACAGTCCTTCTAAAAGGGGACTATATGAGCTCATATGAGTGTCCATGTTAGTTTGGGGGAGTGTAGGCTTTGGGGTCCAGCATTCATGGTCTCGCCCCGCTGTGATTGCAAGTGCTGAATGCTTTCTTGAAACACCCTAAACCCTAAACCCTAAACCCCTATGATGGCCTGAAGGTGCCAGCACAGGAAGTCCCCCAAAATGGTGCAAGCGCGGACATCTCGAGGAACTTACGAAGAGCGAGAATTTTCTGGCGCGAAAACCAGAACCCCCAAATCCCTCTACCTAAACCCCAAAAGTA